GGCTCGGCAGCAGGGAACACGGCACCTCGCGCAGCCAGCCCCGCTGCACGAAGCGCCGGGTGCCCCACGCCCTGCCCACCCTGGGGGGGGCCTTCCCTCGACGTCCCACCCTGTGGCCCCGCAGGTCAGCAAGGCCACCACTTTGCAGAAGACAGCCGAGTACATCTGCAAGCTGCAGCAGGAGCGGGCGGCCCTGCAGGATGAGGCGCAGCGGCTGCGGGAGCAGATCGAGGAGCTCAATGGCTCCATCAAGTAAGAGGGGCATGGCTGGGGGAGGCGGGAGGGAGCCACTGCCTGCATCGGGGTAGCCAGGCAGGGCAAGCGGCAGCACCGGGGAGGCAGCAGGACACAGCAGGTCTTTGGAGCACCTCTCAGGACCTGCATTTGACTCTGACCCCTCTCAAACGCTGTTTCGGAGGGGGGGATGCTCAAGAGGCAGTGCTGTGTGGGACCAGAGCATGGGGCCATGCCCCACAAGTCGCCCTGGGAGGTGGACACCGCCTGGCCACCCCTGCTGAGAGCTGAGGTCGCGCCCCCTCCCCATGGGGCGCCCCCCGCGCCTCCCAGTCTCCTGAACGTGGACCCACAGCACTGCTTGCGCCCCACAGCCTGTGCCAGGAGCAGCTGCCGGCCACGGGGGTGCCCATCACACGCCAGCGCTTCGACCAGATGCGCAGCATGTTCGACGAGTACGTCCGCTCCTCCACGCTGCAGAACTGGAAGTTCTGGATAGTATCCTTTGGGGCCAGTGCCTGCTGCTTGCTCTGACTCCTCCACCAAACACCAGGCCCCCTGGTTCACCCGCTGCTCCCAGGTCTGGGGGTGTCCCTCCACCTCGAGAGGCTCTGGGGACCACGGGGAGATGTTTCCCAGCCGAGGGCACATGGTGGGAACACACCGAGATGCTGTGGTTAGGAGGAAGCTTCTGTTACAAGGGAGCAAACAGAGTAGGAGTAAATGGTCAGTCCTCGGGGAGAAGGAAAGTCACCAGCAGAGCTGAGCTCATGCGGGGAAGAGCTCCTGGTGGCATGGGAACTGGCTCTGAGAAGCAGCAGCCATCAACTAGAGATTAGGAAAGGTCCAAAGGCAAAGCTGGGAACATGATAGCTTGGCCTTGGTGGCCGTGTGGCACACCCTGGAAACCCAGGCGTGCCCACGCCTGGGACACAAGTCTGGGCTCTAACAGGGTGGAGAGGATGGAGGGGGGGACGGGGCCGGGGAACGGGTGGTCAAAGGGCTGGGCCTGCTTCTCTGTGAGCAGGGAGGGATTAGACGCACTGGGACCATCAAGCCTGTAGAGACTGAGGCCTACAAAATCCCAAGGGGCAGAGGGATG